AAAAAAAAAAAAAATCCATTAATTTACTTTTGGTAGAACTACTTATAATCTTGAGCAGTTTTTATAACAGATGACCTTTTGACTGCCTATAATCCTCCCCCTCTTGTGCTCTCTCTGTCTCTCTCAAATAAATAAATAAACTCTAAAAAAAAAAAAAAAAGAAGTGGACATCTAAGTGTCGGGAGGACATGAAGCATGTAGAAGGAGCGGTGGGACCACCCTGGAGCTTTCTTGGATTCCCTTCCCCCTACACCCCCACTGAGACCATACACACCTTCCCTTTGAAGAGCTCTTGGATCTCGGGCACGTAACTCTCGGAATCCGTGGCGATGTAGACTGACTGGGCTTTCAGCGCGTCCACCCAGAGCTTCACAGCCCGTCTGATTTCCTTCAGGTCAGGGAGGCACATAGTCAGGGTGAGAGGGGTGGCCGTGCTGCGGCTGTAGCCCACACACTGCGGGGAGGCCATGAAGTGGGAGCCCGCAGTCCCGTCCTTCAGCATGGCACAGGCATTCTTCTGCAGGGTCGTAGGGGGACAGGGTTAAAGACAGCAGCTGGCCCGGGCCCCAGAAGCAAGAGCCACTAAGTGGAAAAAGGCTACATAGAAGCTCAACTATGTTTTTAAAAAAAAGTACTGAGGGAAGAGGGAAATGCATCAAGACAGTAACAGCGGCTGTTTCTGTAGAGTGGATACTGGCTTTTTACAAAATATGTTTTTCTTAGTCTTACTGGGTTATCTGGGACCTCCAGCAGAATTCTGAACCATGGTGGTGATAACGGGCAGCCTTATCTGATTTCTGACTTCAGTGGGAACACTTCTGGTAGCTCCCATGAAGTACATGTTTGCTGTGGGTTTCGGAGAGATAGCCTTTATCAAGTTAAGGTGGGTCCTTTCAATTCCCAGTTGGTTAAGAGGTTTTTGTTTTTAATCATGACTGAGTGTCGGCTTTTATCAAATGCTTTCTTGGCCTCTATTGAGATGATTATATGATTTTTCCTCTTTGGGTGCTACTATAGTGAATTTCATTGCATTCCTGGGATAAGGTTTACTTGTGTCGTATGCTCTTTAATATGTTATTGGAGTTTACTTGCTGATATTCTACTTAGGATCTGTACATTTATGTTTGTGAGAATGAGCTCTACTCTTCTGAATTGACCTTATCCGAGTTTGGTTTAGTGTTATGCTAGCTTTGTGAAAAATAGCATCTTATGTCTTTTTATGTTCTAAGCATGTATAGATGGAAACTGTTTCTTAAAGGTTTGGCTAAAACCACTCACAAGATATTCTGAGCCTGGTTCCTTTTCTTTATGGAAGGAGGGCAGGAAGGGAGTCAATGTGTGACTATAGTTGACCCTTGAACGACACAGGGCGTAGGGGCCGCCATCCCCACCCCGTATATAATTTTTGACTTCCCCCAAACTTAGCTACTAATAGCCTACTGTAGACCAAAAGCCTTACTGATAAAATAAAGAGTTGATAAACACATATTTTGTATGTTATATGTATCACATACTGTATTCTTACAATAAAGGAAGCTAGAAACAAGAAAAAGTTACTAAGAAAGTCATAAGGAAAAGAAAACCCATGTACAACACCTCCCTGTAAAACCTCATCAGCATGTTAGGGAGCCCATGTGGTTTAAACCCATGTTGTTCAAGGGTCAACTGTACCTCCTCAATTGACTCTGAGTGAATTTTGATCTAATTTCTATCCTTTGCAGTATTTTTCAAGTCTTCAACAATGAGCATTTCTAACATACATACATACATATATCCTCTTATGTAAATTAAGGAGATGTCTACATTTCTCCTGTTATTTTTACACAGAAGATAATCTGATGAGGTTTCTGCACATTTAAGCAGCCTCCAAATTTGGAGGATGACATCTTCAGTTTTGAGAGCCCCACCCAATCTCCAGAGCCTGTTTTTCAACAAAGAGTCTACTGGCTAAACAATTAGCTGGACCACAAGACTCCTGGGCTCTGGGTGTCTCTCTGGCTTGCTGCCTGACTTGGAGTCTAGCTTGATGTTTATTTAACCATCTGCAAAATAAGGACAAAAATGGCTATTATTAAAATGAGCGCTGGCAAGCAAGCACTTTGCAGCCACATTTCTCATGTGTCTAAGGCAGGATCGTGGAACACAGCCCCGTGGACTTGGCTGAGTGAGACCTCTCTGCCCTGGCTGGGACTCGGTGCAGTGGGTTCAGGGTTCAACATCCACAGGCATGGGCCCTAATCAGGGACATGTCCAAGCCAGCCCTGAGAGGAAGGGAGAAATTACCCAGTCAGAGCCAATGCGCAGGTGAATGCCCACGTAGGGCCGGATGAGGTGGGTGCGGATGTGGGCCTCTCCCGTCCTCACCATCTCGTCTGACCATACCATGTACTTCTGGAGTGGCCTGTGTTCCTCTAGGACGGGGAACTGGGCTGGAGCCCCTGGCAGGGCAAGCACTGGATGTTCCTTTGGAGAAAATCTAGGCATGAGACCGAATGAGGGGAAGTTAGACAGAGGACACACAGCCTGGCCGCCTCCCCCACAGGACAAAGGATGGTGTTGCGCCATGGCCCAGAGACCCTGCAAAGGGGCCCCGCTAACATGCAAGAAGCACGAGAGGCTGAGAAACCCCAATAGGCTGATAAGGAACCGTGGCAGCGACAACAGGCACAATATACAATACTGTCCCGCCGCATAGAATTTACAACCCTCTTTGCTTGCTTAACAATTAAAAATTTACAGTAGAGCATTCCAACCTTTTGTATGTCATGCTGGCTTCCAGTCTGTGGTGTGGTAATTCACTCCGGGGTGGGGTGTCTGGACTGCGCCTCTGCCCTTTTACCCACATGGCGGGACTGGGACATGCAGCGGCTTCCAGAGGGCCGTGGACAGGTCAGGCTCACAGGCAATGTGTACACTGGGTGAGGCCATTCGTGCAACATTTAACATATATTTGTTGACTGCCTACTACGTGCTGGGGCCCAGGGGAGAACAAGACAAGCATGATCCCTGCCCTTGTGAAAAGCACCTGCCATCTACAGATGCCCTCGTCGTACCGTCCTGAAGGCTCTCCTTCCTCCTTGTACACAATGCACCTTGTAATTACTTCACCCTGTCTTTTCTACTAGACACAGACTTCTGAAGGCATGCCTCCATGTGACCAGGACGGTGTCTGGCACATGTAAGAGCTCAGTGAATATTTCTTGACTGAATGAGTGAGGAGAAAACCCATGCTCCCTCCAGCTAAATCCAGAGTCTGTCCTAGCAACACGAAACATCCTGATAGTTCCATCAACTCGAATGCACTTTCAAGCTCCAGATCTCTGTATGCTTCTTGCCTTGACCTGGACTGCCTTCCCTCTGTCAGCCAAAAGCCTTTTCTTAAAATTCTGAAATTGGCATGGCCACTCTGGCAAACAGTTTGGCAGTTTCTTGTAAAACTAGAATGCAGTTACCATATGCCCCAGCAATTATACTCTTGGGCATTTATCCCAAAGAAATGAAAACCTATATTCACACATGAACCAGTATACGAATGTTTAGAGCAGCTTTGTTCATAACAGCCCCAAACTGGAAACAGCTCTACTGTCCAAGTGACTAGCTAACCAAACCATGGTGCATCCCACCACGGAATCCGACAGCAATAGCAAGGAACAAACTACCGAGACAGGCAACAACGTGGGATGGATCTCAAGGGAGCCATGCAGAACGAGAGAAGCCAAGCCCTCAATCTTGCATACTGTGATTGCATTTATGTAACATTTTTGAAATGACATAATGGAGCAGAGAACAGAAATGGAGGAGAGATTAGTGGTTGTCAGGGGCTAGGGTGTGTGTGCCCGTGTGTGTGTGCGTGTGTCCGTGCACGCGCATGCGCACACATGCATGGTTAAGGACATGGGTGTAGTCATATACTGGTCACAGAGGATCCTTGTGAAGTTAGAACTGTTTGGGTATTTTGACTGTGGTGGAGGTTACAACCTACATGTGTGTAAAATCGAACAGACCTAAATACACACACACACGTGCACATACAGAAGTGAGAACAAGTAAAACTAGGACAATCTGAATACGATGGGTGGATTGTATCAATGTCAACATCCTGGTTGTGATACTGCACTATAGTTTTTTTTGTTTTTTTAAAGATTTTTATTTATTTATTCATGAGAGACAGAGAGAGAGAGAGAGGCAGAGGGAGAAGCAGGCTCCCAAGGAGCAGAGAGCCCGATGCGGGACTCGATCCCAGGACCCTGGGATCATGACCTGAGCCGAAGGCAGACGCTTAACCATCTGAGCCACCCAGGTGCCCAATACTGCACTATAGTTTTGCAAAATGCCAGCAATGAGTGAACTGGGTAAAGGGTACCTGGGACCTCTTTGTATTCTCTTTTTTCTTTTCTTTTCTTTCCTTCCTTTCTTCCTTCCTTGTCTTTGTATTATTTCTTACAACATGTGAATCTACAATTACCTCAATAAAAATTTCAATGAAAAGTTATTAAATATTTCAAAGCATAACAGGAAAATACAGAAAATAACTTTACAACCCACATACACATGACCCAAATTAGCAGATATTAATACTTCACTGTGTTTCAGATTTGTTATTTTTTTATTCTTTTTTAAGATTTTATTTATTTATTTGACACAGAGAGAGAGAGACAGCGAGAGAGGGAACACAAGCAGGGGGAGTGGGAGAGGGAGAAGCAGGCTTCCCACTGGGCAGGGCGCCTGATGCAGGGCTCGATCCCAGCACCCTGGGATCATGACCGGAGCCGAAGGCAGACGCTTAACGACTGAGCCACCCAGGTGTCCCTCAGATTTTTTAAAAAAGAGACACTGGTCTATCCCATCATCTTTCCCTCCTTTACTTCCTCTTCCCAGAAGATACAGTGGCTTTATGCATGACTACACTTTTACTATTTGTGCATAAAGGTATTATTCTGTGTGCTTTTCACACAATGTAATGGTAAAGGTCCAGGCTGTCAAGCCAGATGGCCTTGTGCTAATGTTGACTATGCCACCTACTAACTTGGGCAGGTGACTTACCCATTCTGTGCAGCAGTTCCCTTATTTGTATAATAGAGCTAATAATAGCTCCTGATTCGCAGGGCTCTTGAGAAGATTAAATGGATTAATATAAGCAAAGCATTTAGAACAGTACTCAGCACATAGAAAGCTCTTAAGAAATCCTGACTATCACCATCACCATCATTGTCCTATTGCATGAAACCCACTGCAACTTTTTAGAAATTCAACTTTATGTTTTAGAGACTTGGCCACGTTGACCGTGTTAGCTTCTCTCGAAGTTTTCCATTTTGCACGAATAAGCACAGCAGGGCTGCAGTGGGCAC